TTAAAGTTGGCTCTATATCTCGTGGTGCCAGAGTGCAGTCTGGTTAGTGCCTTCCAAGTCACCCAGTGTTCTGTGTGCCCAGGGGGGAGTCTCTCATTCCAGGCTCCAGGTTTTAGCCTGCCACTCTTGGACTCTCACTTGCTGGGTGTCCCAGTGAGTGTCTCTGTAGATCTTAGAAAACTATTTGTTGATTTAAGTCGTTGACGTGCTGGCTGATACCCAAACAGGGGATGAGCTGGAGATGTCACTGCCTTGGTCCTTTCACTATTGGCTGCTACTTCCCGGCGGATGTCAGGTGGTGCAATACCGGCTAGACAGTTTAGTTTCTCCAGTGGTGTAGGGCCAGACACCCCGTGATAATGTGGCATGTCTCATTAAGAGCCACATCCACTGTTTTAGCGTGGTGAGATGTGTTCCACACTGGGCATGCATACTCAGCAGCAGAGGAGCATAGTGCAAGGGCAAATGTCTTCACTGTGTCTGGTTGTGATCCCCAGGTTGTGCCAGTCAGCTTTCATATGATATTGTTTCTAGCACCCACCTTTTGCTTGATATTCAGGCAATGCTTCTTGTAGGATGTTTTTGGCATGATGGAGAAGGAATGTTTTGGCCTTTAAGGTTCCTGTTGAAACCTGCTGCATACTGTTTGGTTTTGCAGAACGGCAAGGGGGCAACAAGAGAGCATGCAAGCGCCTTACTCTGGAGACTGACAACATCCCTTCCCACGTTGATGTAAACCGGGAGGGGAAACTGCCCTCTCAGAAGCCATCTTCTTTCTTTCCTGGAGTCCAAGCTGTAGTATCCAACTCTCACCTGCCTTTAGGTAATACCTTTCGGAACATTATTAAAACTGTGCCATCTTCAATCCTTCCAACGTACTTTTTGTAAACCTCTCTGAAAAATAAAACAACAGGAGAACGTGAGCTCAAAGTTATCCGTATATACTCGAGTATAAGCCGAGGGTGAGAAATGCAGCAGCTACGGGCAAATTTCAAAATGAAAATAGATACTAATAAAATTACATTAATTGATGCATCAGTAGGTTAAATGTTTTTAAATATTTACATAAAACTGTAATTTAAGATCAACAAAAACAACAACAACAACAGAGTAAAATAATAAATAACCTTGACTCAAGTATAAGCCGAGTAAGACTTTTTCAGCCTAAAACAAGGGTTGAAAAACTAGACTTATACCTGAGTATATACAGTAAGTTTGCTTCCTTTATGTTAGCTCGAGTGTATCATTTAATATATTGGGAGAAGGAAAAGTAGTGGAAAACCTCTTTCCATTAAGAAAAAAGAAATGCAGTGCCATTCGCTGGGCTGTGTTGATTTAATTTATTTTTATTTCGTATCAAAAGCATTGCATAAATTAGTACAAAACCGATAAAAATAGAAGGATCGCAGGTGGCTAAATATCTTTTGACCAAAAACGGGCAACAGCAATGGCATTGTCTGTAGCCTCCAACAATTCTTCCTCTGTACATGAGGCAGGGCATAGTGGACAAGCATACAGATGCAGAGTTGTCTGTTCTGCTCCACAGTCACACAAAGTGTGGGATTCTTTTAGGTAGTGCCATTTTGCCAGGTTGTCTTTTGATCTGCCCACTCCACTTCTGAGTCTGTTCAGGGACTTCCAAGTTGCCCATTCTTGGTTTGCCCCTGGAGGAAGACCCTCGTGGTTAAAAGCGCCAGTTTCCCTCTCTGGCCTGGCAGTTCATATCTACCTTCAGTGCCCACTTCAAAAGACGATGGCCCTAAATATAAGGCTCTCTAGGCAAAGTTCTCTCTGTGCTGTTTTCTTCTTTTACTTGTTGGTAATAAAACATGCTTTCTACAGCTCTGAGGACATAAATGAGGTCCTGAAATCACTTTCCCCCTTTTCTTTTTGACTCTCATTGGTAGAACCGAACTTGGATAGCAACCAACAGGAAAGCAAAAAGGTCGAGAATGCTTTTCTGTATGCCTTTGATGAGCAGTACCAATACACTGGGGAACCTGGACATTCAGTGACGAGGTAAGAGAGTAGCAAAACTGGCATATCTTGGCAAAGGATTTCCATGGGACTCTTGCTTTAAGACCACAAGAAGTGAAATATGGTCTGCGGCCTCACTGTTACTGCACCGTTCAACAAGAGCGACTGGTCTCGGGAAGCCCTCTTATAGTGCCAAGGCTTATTAAATATGGTTTTCTGTGGGCGAGCAGATGGCGACTACTGGATGGCATATGTTCTGTATCAGAAACTAGAGCAGATGTGGTCTATCCTGTCAGAGTTCAGATGATGCCCAACGGAAGGAATGCTAGATCAGCAGACACTGAGTTTCAAAAGAAACTAAGTTTACTAAGCATACACATCAGACACGTCTTACTACAGCGAGCTACAATCAGGAACTAGTCAAAACGAAAGCTTTTGCACATCTGCCTATCTCTTTTGCTGAGACTGGCTACTCCCTTCTGTTCCCAGCAAGAGCAAACCTTATCTTACTTTTTTCAAGTTCACTTAATCACAGCCTCATAGTGTAAACATTCTGTACAGCATTTCTAATTCACAGTAGCATCCATCTTGGCAGTACATAGAAGCACATTTAAAACACATACATAACTAAATTAATCCTGACATATCCAATGCAGTTTTCTGATTCAGCACCCCAAATCACCAAACTGAATCTAAAGTTGACCAAAAACTAATTTGTAACCCTTTTGGTACCAATGTTGGAGAGTGGTCCCTGGTCAAAAAAAGGTTAGGAACCACTGCTTTAAGAGATCTCTTGTCTGGAATATATTTTTAATATTGTTTGTGAGATTTGAATGGAGAAAGGGCCTGGAAACTACAAGGGTTAGCATTATCCCTGGTTGGGTGGCTGAAAAAGTGGATCTCAGAAAGCCAGTGTTGCCGTTTGACTAAGATCAAGTGTAGTATCTTCTTAGTTTAATATCTGGTACGTCCTTATTTATTTATATTTATTTGCACTGCTCTGTCCCCTTTGGGGTTAACTCAGGATATAAATATGGCAATGATGTGCAGCTGGCTGGGAGTCAGTTGCATTAAGATCACTACTGACTGAAAGGTCATGAGTTCAAAGCCAGCCTGGGTTGGAGTGAGTGTCCGACCAATTTGTGTAGCTTGCTGTCGACCTTTGCAGCCTGAAAGACAGTTGCATCTGTCAAGTATAAATATTTGTCATGTTTATATGTCATGTTTAAATATTTGAAGGGATGTCACAAGGGAGCAGGAGCAGGCTTGTCTTCTGCTGTCTTGGAGACGAGGACTCAATGGAGCCATTGGTTCAAATGACAGGAAAGGAGGTCCCACATGAACATTAGGAAGAATGCAGGAAGAGCTCTCCAACCGTCGAACTCACTGCCTCAGAATCCAGTGGAGGCACCTTCTTTGGAAGCTTCTAAGCAAAAGCTGAATGGCCATCTGTTGGGAGGGCTTAGATTGTGTTTCCCTGTCTAGCAGTTGGCTGGACTGGATGGCCCTTGTAGAACCATAGAATCCTAGAGTTGGAAGAGACCTCGTGGGCCATCCAGTCCAACCCCATTCTGCCAAGAAGCAGGAGAATCACATTCAAAGCACCCCCAACAGATGGCCATCCAGCCTCTGTTTAAAAGCCTCCAAAGAAGGAGCCCCCACCACAATCTGGGACAGAGAGTTCCACTGCTGAACAGCTCTCACAGTGAAGAAGTTCTTCCTAATGTTGAGGTGGAATCTCCTTTCTTGTAGTTTGAAGCTCTTGTTCCATCGTGTCCTAGTCTCCAGGTTAGCGGAAAAACAAGCCTGTTCCATCCTCCCTATGACTTCCCCTCATATTTTGATACATGGCCCTCATCATGTCTCCTCTCAGCCTTCTCTTTTTCAGGCTATTATTTATTTACTTTTTTACTTTTTTACTTATTTATTTACGGCCCTTCCCACCCCAAAGGGGACTCAGAGTGGCTTACAATATATATTTTCATACAATATATTATATTATTAGCATAGTACATGCCCAGCTCTTTAAGCCACTCCTCATAGGGTTTGTTCTCCAGACCCTTGATCATTTGAGTTGTCCTCTGGACATATTCCAGCTTGTCGACATCTCCCTTCATTTGCAGTACCCAGAACTGGATACGGTGTAATTCCAGGTGTGGTCTGACCAAGGCAGAATAGAACAAAGGAGTAGCATGATTTTCTTAGATCTAGGCACTAGACTTTTATTTATGCAGGCCAAAATCCCATTCTGCCAAGAAGCGGGAGAAGCACATTCAAAGCACCCCCAACAGATGGCCATCCAGCCTCTGTTTAAAAGCCTCCAAAGAAGGAGCCTCCACCACACTCTGGGACAGAGAGTTCCACTGCTGAACAGGCTTTTAAGAGCCTGAACAAGCTCTTAAAAAACCAATGGAAGAGGCTTTTTAAGCTGCCGCATGACATTGTTGGCTCATGTTTCACTTGTTCCCCACGAGGACTCCAAGATCTTTTTCGCATATCCTGCTGTCGAGCCAGGCATCGTCCCCTATTCTATATCCTTGCATTTCATTTTTTTTCTGCCTAAGTGGAGTATCTTGCATTTGTCCCAGTTGAACTTCATTTTGTTGGTTTTGGCCCATCTCTCTAATCTTAATCGGCTCTATGGTTCTTGTTATGATAGACACCAGTACCATCCTTTGACTAGTTCACTGACCACCTCGATTGTGTTTTCAGTCAGGAGTTGGTGCAATATAATTCCTCTTACGAGGAGGAAGATGAAGAAGGACTCAACCCCAGCCCTTGGCTCTCAGTCCAGTCTCCAGTGTGGATCTCTCACGGTGAGTGCCAGGAACCTTTGTGCAAAAGCCCAAGGAATGGCATAGCTTGAAAGCAGGGCGCTGCAGTCTTGATACGCGACACCTGAAGGAACAGGAGTGCACAGGACAACCTGGAAATGCATGTGCAATCCTGAATGGGTTTATGCAGAATAAAATTCAATTGAATTTCTGATTTATATTTCAGTAAACCACCAGATTAGCTCTGGTTGGATTGAAGAGCTGTAGGCTACCGTATATACTCACCTATAAGCCGACCTGAATATAAGCCGAGGCAGAAAACTGGGAAAAAGTACTGACTCGAGTATAAGCCGAGGGTGGGAAATGCAGCAGCTATGGGTAAATTTCAAAATAAAAATAGATAAAATAAAATAAATAAATGTGCTTACGTATCCTTCCAATAATCATAATAATAGAGTAAAATAATAAATGTAAAATAATAATCATAATAATAGAGTAAAATAATAAAAATGTAATAACAATAACAACAGAGAAAAATAATAAATGTAATAACAATAGAGTAAAATAATAAAGGTAATAATAAATAGAGTAACATAATAAATGTAATAATAGAGTAAAATAATAAAAGTAATAATAATAAATAGAGAAAAATAATAAATGTAATAATAATAGAGTAAAATAATAAATGTAATCATAACAATAAAGGTAATAATAATAAATAGAGTAAAATAGTAAAGATAATAATAATAAATAGAGTAAAATAATGAATGTAATAATAATAATAAATAGAGAAAAATAATAAAGGTAAAAATAATAATAGAGTAAAATAATGAATGTAATAATCATAAATAAGAGTAAAATAATAAATGTAATAACAATAGAGTAAAATAATAAAAGTAATAATAAATAGAGTAACATAATAAAAGTAATAATAGAGTAAAATAATAAATGTAGTAATAATAAATAGAGTAAAATAATAAATGTAATAATAATAAAGTAAAATAATTAATGCAATAATAATAATAAATAGAGAAAAATAATAAATGAAATAATAATAATAAATAGAGTAAAATAATAAATGTCATTGTAATAAAAATACTAGAGTAAAGTAATGTAAATGTAATAATAATGATAATAAATAGAGTAAAATAATAAATGTAATAAAAATAATAATTATAACAGAGTAAAATAATAAATAACTTTGACTCATGTATAAGCCGAGGGGGGCTTTTTTAGCCTAAAAGAAGGGCTGAAATACTCAGCTTATACTCAAGTATATATGGTATATTTCAGAGGAAGGGATTGGCAAAACCACAAAAATGCTGTGAAATTCCTGGAGTCACTCTTATGTTGCCAGGTGATTTGAAGGCACACATGTATGCCAAATCTGATTTAGGTCCTTTTCCCCAAATACTGCAGGTAAGAACTTCCAGAGCTGCCTTTTAAGACCATGACTGTTCTAAGTCTCCAGCCAATGATGGCAGTTTGAGGACTGTGTGAATAGCAGTTCAAAAAGAACTGGAAAAGAAATTCTTTCTGGGCTTGATCCTTCCCCAAGCCCAGAAGGACTGTCCATGAATCCTAGCACTGTAGGCTCAGTGTCAGGCACAGCCAATATTCCTTGCCTAAGAAAACCCTATGAAATTCATAAACTCAGTCACACATGCATACATGTGGCCTAAATATGGTTGAGAAGCAGACAACATATGCTGTTGATTGGGATTGTGCCCTTGTTCTATTCAACATCCTCATCTGCATACAAAGCAACACAATCAATGGCACTCTTCTTTTATCAGGGAGCTTGCAGTTGCATTCACCTGGGACCGGGGCACCAAACACTTGTTCCGATTTGGGGCTCAGCCCTTCGCTTTTCTCCTCTCCGGCTCGGCTGCTCCCCAGGCACATCCTCCATGGCGGACAGGAGGAACTTTCCCCAGGTAAAAGAGCAGTCATCGGTACAGTCATCGGTTATGTCTGATGTTTTCATACCTAATGTATGTCTCTTCCCCCGTGACAGGAGCATCCAAGTGTACAACACCTGTTTTAAATAGTTTTTTAAAGACGGTCCCCTCCCCCCTCTCCTTTAAAAAACTACTGGAGACTCACTTTTTGTTGTGATTCAGTCTGAGCCTGAGCTTTCTGAGCCCGAGTTTCCTTAGGACGAGGAGGATGATGGGTTACAGATTTCTGAACATGTTCTGGTTAATGAGGCAGTCAAAGCAGACAGTGTTGATTCTGAAGAAGAGACGGCATTTCTGTTTCCCAGAGAAAGGAATGTGGTTTTAGATAAAGATAGTGAAACTCCGCAGGTCCAGATGGAGGCTCCTTCTGGGAGCTCAGGGACTCTTGGTTCCCAGGGTGACCAGGCCCAAGATAACGAGGTATCCGACCTTGAAGAAAGTGGAGATTTGATTAGACAGGACCATTTGCAATTAAGAATTTGGAGAAGCGCACGCCTTGCCAACAAGTGTGAAGCTAGAGGTCAACGTAATACTTTCATGTTGGGGAAACTTATTTAATGATCTGGTTGAAGGGCATTCTCTTGTCAGTCCAATGTTGCTCTTACCCTGTTAACTGTTGGGGTTCAGCCTGTGCGTGAACCTGAACCTGATTCTTTGATTGTATTTCCTGATACCAATGAAGATGTCAATTCTGAGGTCAATGTAGAAGATGACGGTTTGTGTAGTGAAACTCCTGCAGGCTTGGAAAGCGAAAGTTCCCATGAGAATGTTTCAGAGCCAAGCGGTGAACTTTCACTCCCTTTTCCTTCCAATCTCAGTTCTCCGGAGAATCTGACACCTGGTCTCTCTAATGAGGATAGGAGAGGGCAGATTTGGCAGAGCAGGGGGGAATCTCAAAGTGTACGAAGGTCAGCTAGATTGAAACAAATGCAAACAAAGCCTTCTGGCGTGTCACGTAATAGATTTCTTGGCCTTAAGTACCTCATGCCTGGAAGCCAATTCAGACCAGGCATCGTTCCAGATTCAAGCATCATCCTTGGCAGGTCTCCTGATTCCAGTGACCTTATTCCTAAGAGGCTTTCTAGTTGCTTCAAGTACGGTTAGTGGATTGCTAACAAGTTCCAGGATTTAGCAGTGTTACTGTGGGTTTTTGATCTTGTTCATGGACATTTCCTGTTGCTGATTTTTACTGTGGCTTTTTACTTTGCATATTTCCTCTATTTTTGTACTCATCTTTCTTCAATAAAAAAAGGATTGTTTTTCCTGAAGTCAAGTGTTGTGGATTGTGTCTGAGGGTCCAGTTTCCTGTGGAAATACCTTGGCTTTTGCGGAAAGCTTCTGGCTCTTTGGGACTTTGCTTTTGATCCTGATTTTTGGAGATCTTGTCTTGCTACCATGGACTCTTGTTTAACCAATGCTAAAGGACTATGCTTCATGTTATTTGCCTTTGGAACTTAGGAACTTTGCTTTTGCATTTAAGACTCTGTTTTGCCTACATCTTTATTTCTCTGTTTTGATTTTGCTTTTTCTCAGTAAACTACAAAACCTACAGCCTTGGTGTGTGGTGGTGTCTTGAGCAAGGTGAATCTATCCTGAGTTGCGACACTTTTGCTCATTACTTTACTTACTTAGGAGATCCTTTGTTGTCTGAGTATGATTATCCTCCAAGTGCAGTATATTGGTGGTGGATCTGTAGGTGACTGTGGAGCCCCATCTTGACCTGCACGTTCTCCCGCAGTGAGGGCATCGGTTTTCAGGTGGAAGGTGATCCTGGTTGGGTTTGGCTTGATGCGCCTTCCTCTTGGCACATTTCTCTCTTTCACTCTCTATTCATGCCTCTTCAAATTCTACAGCACTGCTGGTCACAGCTGACCTCCAGCTGAAGTGCTCAAGGGCCAGGGCTTCCCAGTTCTCGGTGTCTATGCCACAGTTTTTGAGGTTGGCTTTGAGCCCATCTTTAAACCTCTTTCTCTGCCCACCAACATTCAATTTTCCATTCTTGAGTTCAGAGCAGAGCAACTACTTTGGGTGATGGTGATCGGGCATTTGGACAACATGGCCAGTCCAGCGGAGTTGATGACAGAGGAGCATCGCTTCAATGCTGGTGGTCTTTGCTGGTGGTCCAAGTGTAAAACTGTGTTTTAAATAGTCTTTTTAATGATGATCCCCTCCCTCCTCTCCTTTAAAAAACTACTGAAGGCTCACTTTTATTCATTAGCATATGGAGAGGAGGATTAGATAATGTGAGATCACTGCCGGACCTCTGGTTGAGAACTAATATTGTATTTGGGCTCGGTCAGCTGTCATCACCAGCCATATATTCAGCCCATATGAATTGCTTTCATAATTGTTTTAACTGTATTTTGATCATTGTTATGGCACTGAATCTCTGCCGACTGTGAACCGCCTTGAGTCGCCCCTGGGTGAGAAAGGTGGTATACAAATGTGGTAAGTAAGCAAGTAAATAAATAAATTTGATTTTGTGATATTTGTAAATATCTGTAAATCAAAATAGATGTTTTACATCTATATATATATATATATAGAGAGAGAGAGAGAGTCACTATAAATATAGTAAATAATAATAATATATTTTGTTTGATTGCGTTTTGTTTAATTTTTTCCTCCTCTTGCTCCTCCTCCTCAAAGGAACACCCTTTTAAATCTTGAAGCATGGTTCTCATGTTCCCTCTCTTCTCCCAGCTAAACATCCCCCAGGAAGATAGGAGGAAGGAAAAAGGGAAGGAAGAAAAGGTGGAAGGGAATAGAGTGAGGGAAGGGAAGGAAGGGAGAAGGAAGAAGGAAGGAAGGAAGGAAGGAAGGAAGGAGGGAAGGAAGGAAGGAGGGAAGGAAGGAAGGAAGGAAGGAAGGAAGGAAGGAAGGAGAAAGAGAGAGAGAGGGCAGGAGGGAGGAAAGACTGAAGAAAAGAAGGAGGAAAGGGTGAAAGGGAAGGAAGAATAAAAGGTGAAAGAGGGAGGGAAGGAAGGAGGGGAAGGGTAGAAGGAAGGAAGGAAGGAAGGAAGGAAGGAAGGAAGGAAGGAAGGAAAGGGAAGGTAGGGAGGAAAGAGAGAAGGAAGGAAAGAGAAAAGGGAAGGAAGGAAGGAGAAAGAGAGGGAAGGAGGAAGGAAAGAAGGAAGGAAGGAGAAAGAGAGAGGGGGGAAGAGGGAGGAAAGACTGAAGTGAAGAAGGACAAAAGGGTGAAAGGGAAGGAAGAATAGAAGGTGGAAGAGGGAGGGAAGGAAGGAGGGGAAGGGTGGAAGGAAGGGAGGGAAGGGAGGGAGGAAAGAGAGAAGGAAGGAAAGAGAAAAGGGAAGGAAGGAAGGAGAAAGAGAGAGAGGGCAGGAGGGAGGAAAGACTGAAGAAAAGAAGGACGAAAGGGTGAAAGGGAAAGAAGAGGGGAAAGGGGAGGAAAAGAAGAGGGAAAGGAAAGGAAGGAAGGGAAGGGAGGAAAGAACTTCCTGACTGTGAGAGCCGTTCAGCAGTGGAACTCTCTGCTCCGGATTGTGATGGAGGCTCCTTCTTTGGAAGCTTTTAAACAGAGGCTGGATGGCCATCTGTCAGGGGTGATTTGAATGCAATATTCCTGCTTCTTGGCAGGGGGTTGGACCTAATGGCCCATGAGGTCTCTTCCAACTCTTTGATTCTATGATTCTATGAAGCAATATTTGTGTACAATGAGAGAAGGAAGGAAAGAGAAAAGGGAAGAAATGAAGGAAGGAGAAAGAGAGAGAGGGAAGGAGGAAGGAAAGAAGGAAGTATAGACAAAAGGGGGGGAGAAGGAAGGAAGGAGAAAGAGAGGGAAGGAGGAAGGAAAGAGAGAAAGAAGGAAAGATAAGATGGTGTGAGAAAAGAGCCCAAGTGGCTACATCCGGCCCCGGGCCTTGGTTTACCCATAGCTGATCTAAAAGCTTGGCACACAACATAATGAGAAACTAACACTAGGAATTGCAATTAATGAGTCAATAATAAAAGCCAGTCCACAGATACCAACAACGGTGTGCTTCCAAAAACAAGAGGATCCCTTGCCCCTAGCAATTCAAAAACTGTTTGTCTCTCTTTAATGGATCCCTATCCTCCCTATTTCCTTGCAGTGTTGTTTGAAGATGTCTATCTATCCCCTCAGTCCAGTCATTATCCTCTGACCCTTTCGGGAACCCTCCTGAGGAAGGTAAATCTGTTCCACCCTTCTCTCATTATTACACCTCTGCCATGTTTCTCTTTTGCCAGAAGATATCTCTTCCTTTGCCTCTTGCAGTCAGCCTTTACGCTGGATCACTGCTACCTTTCCTGCAGTGAAATGGAGGAAAGCAGCCCCAGCCCTGCCTCAAGAATGAATGAGATGCCAACCCCATGGCAGAAATACTTCTTTCAAAAGGTGGGAAGAAAGTGTGGGGATGGAGCAAGAAGTGTTGTTTTCCTCTTCCAGCTTGTGCTGGATCTATTTTGTTTTCCTTTTTCAATGTCGTAAGATTTTTAGGAAAGTCCAAAGTCCAAGACATTGAAGGGCCAAAGTTTAGCCATGCCTATGAGTCTAGACTTGTAACACGTTTGGGTCTCTGAGGAGGCAGTTTTGCATGCTTGACTTCTGTACTGAGTTGCCTGCGCCTATTCCCATCTTGTCTTCTTTGGAGGCTGCCAACTTCACGTCCGAATACCCCGTCACCTCCAGCGACGAGAACAGCGACAGCGCCTGGGTGCCTTGCAAGAGGGTCAGGAAGCCATCGCAAGCATCCTCTCACAAAAAGAAGAAGAAGAAAGGGGTGAAGAAGCAGAGGCACCGGGCCGGAGCCTGTGAGAAGCGCAGCGGAACCTCCCCTCTGAAGTTGAAGAAGAAATGTGTGAACGGGTTTATCATGTTCTGCCGCCTGAACCGCAAGCACTACATCAGGTGAGAAAGGCTGAAGTCCCCTCCGATCAATATATAGCAGGCATGAGCAAACTTGGGCCCTCTAGGTGTTTTGGACTTCAACTCCCACAATTCCTAACAGCTGATAGGCTCCCTGATAATCAACAAGGCCAAACTTATTATAATACATTTAATAATAATAATTTTGGCAGCCCAACAGCAAGCCATTTGAACCAATGCCATCCAAGCCAGAATAGAAAAGTTGATTTATTTATTTATTTATTTTATTTGTCGTGTCAGAGCAACCAGTTCATCATATTACATTTCTAACAGAACAAAGCAAACAAAACTTGTGAGTTTGGTAGTTGGTTAAATGTCCTTTGACCAGTATCTGGCCACTTGGAGTGCCTCTGGTGTTGCCGCAAGAAGGTCCTCCATTGTGCATGTGGCAGGGCTCAGGTTGCATTGCAGCAGGTGGTCAGTGGTTTGCTCTTCTCCACACTCGCATGTCGTGGATTCCACTTTGTAGCCCCATTTCTGAAGGTTGGCTCTGCATCTCATGGTGCCAGAGCACAGTCTGTTCAGCGCCTTCCAAGTCGCCCAGTCTTCTGTGTGCCCAGGGGGGAGTCTCTCATTTGGTATCAGCCATTGGTTGAAGTTCTGGGTTTGAGCCTGCCACTTTTGGACTCTCGCTTGCTGAGGTGTTCCAGCGAGTGTCTCTGTAGATCTTAGAAAACTATTTCTTGATTTAAGTCGTTGACGTGCTGGCTGATACCCAAACGGGATGAGCTGGAGTTGTCTCTGCCTTGGTCCTTTCACTATTGGCTGCTACTTCCCGGCGGATGTCAGGTGGAGAAAAGTTGATGACAGATCCCAAGTGTAGACTCTGCAAGGTATTGTGCCTCTGCTTGTAGTCTGTCTGCGCAATCTTCTTGCATCAGCTGAGGATGGGATCTATTGTTTCATCTGTTTCCTTACAGAGTCTACACTTGGAATTGAAAAGTTAATGTAGACTCTGCAAGGAAGCAGATGAAACAATAGATCACATCCTCAGTTGCGGCAAGAAAATTGCGCAGACAGACTACAAGCAGAGGCACAACACCGTTGCTCAGATGATTCATTGCAACTTGTGCCACAAAGACCATCTGCCTGCCACAAAGAACTGGTGGGATCACAAACTGGAAAAAGTTAGAGAATGAACATGCCAAATTCCTCTGGGACTTCCGGATTCAGACAGAGTGAGTTCTGGAGCACAACAGTGCTCTCTGGATGTAGGTGAGCTACAGCTCCCAAACTCAAGGTCAACGCCCACCAAACAGTATTTTCTGTTGGTTGTGAGAGTTATGTGTACCAGGTCTGGTTCAATTGCATCATTGGTAGAGTTCAGAATGCTCTTTTAATTTAAATGAACCATAAATCCCAGCAACTACAACTCCCAAATGACAAAATCAATCACCCCCAACCCCACCAGTATTCAAATTTGGGCGTATTGGGTATTTGTGCCAAACTTGGTCCAGTGAATGAAATACATCCTGCATATCAGATATTTACATTACGATTCATCACATTAGCAAAATTACAGTTATGAAGTCGTAACAAAAATAATGTTATGGTTGGGGGTCACCACAACATGAGGAACTGTATTAAGGGGTCACAGCATTAGGAAGGTTGAGAACCACTGACCTAGAGATTCCTTGAGAGGTGATCTCTCAGGGTAAAAAAATAGCAATATTTATTTGCATTTCTTTTTCATTTTAATGGGTGTTTTGTGCCCCTGTATATCAAAGGCCTGGCTGTATATAAAATTAATCCTTTGTGGGGGGGGGGGGGGGGGGGGGGGGGGGGGGGGGGGGGGGGGTGGGGGGGGGGGGGGGGGGGGGGCGGGGGGGGGGGGGGGGGGGGGGGGGGGGGGGGGGGGGGGGGGGGGGGGGGGGAGAGCATATATAACTAACATATGTGTGACCTGCAAACTATAAAAGGTTGTCATGTAATGATCTTTCATCTGTTGTTCCCTCTTAGAGCCACAAGTCGATTGAAGTTATATATATTACACTGCAGTGATTGTTAGCTGCCTTGGCTCATTTTAAAAAGAGAGATAAAGTAGGGGTAGAAATAATGATGATGATGATGATGATGATGATAATAATATTTATTTATTTATTTGCTTCATTTGTATACCGCTCTTCTCAGCCCTCAGGCTACTCTGAGCGGTTAACAACCAGTTTCAACAACACAATACAAAATCATTAATCAATTAAAACAGTAGTATCAATTAATTAACACCAAAATATCAATACAACAGTACAGCACTATAACAATCCATCACGTCTCATCAATAGAATCAGCATCCGAACTCATTGTCCATTATTCCATTCCAATAATCAATCAATTGCACTGCTTAGTTGAAAGCCTGTTCGAAAAGCCAGGTCTTCACACTCCTCCGGAATGCCAATAAAGAGGGGGCCGATCTGATGTCTGTAGGGAGGGCGTTCCACAGCCGAGGGGCCACCACTGAGAAGGCCCTGTCTCTCATCCCCGCCAGGCGTGCTTGTGAAGCCGGCGGGACCGAGAGCAGGGCCTCCCCAGACGATCTTAACGTCCTAACTGGTTCATAGGAGGAACCAGTTATTAATATTAATAATAATATTCATATTAATAATAATATAATGGATCCCAAGTGTCTAGGACCATGTGATGTATCAGCGAATAATGCATGCAGATCCCAGTAGGATGTCCTTTTGCAGCTGACAGATGGTAATTTTGTCAGCGCTGATTGTGTTTAAGTGCAGACCAATGTCTTTAGGCACTGCACCCAGTGTGTCATCCAATACAACAACCAGCATAGTGATCTTGTTTGCTTTGTACTAATCTAGTTATGTTTCTAATGATGATGATGATGATGATGATAATAATAATGACAGAGTTTTGGAGCACAATACTCCTGACCTCACAATCGTGTTAAAAAGCAAAATATGGATCGTCGATGTCATAATCCCAGGTGAAAGCGGGATTGAAGAGAAACAACTGGAAAGGCTGACACGATCCGAGGATTTAAAGATCGAACTGCAAAGACTCTGGCTCAAGCCAGTCAAGGTGGTCCCTGTGGTGATCGGCACACTGGGTGCAATGCCTCAAGACCTTAGTCTGCACTTAAGCACAATCGGCACTGACAAAATTACCATCTGCCAGCTGCAGAAGGCCACCTTACTGGGATCTGCAAGCATTATTCACTGATACACACATAGTCCTAGACACTTGGGAAGTGTCCGACGTGTGATCCAATTCAACAGCCAGCAGAGTGTCTGCTGTGGACTCATCTTGTTGTGTTTCAAATAATAATAATAATTAAAAAAATTAATAACATTAATTTGAAATTACCAAAAGCTAACCAATCATTTATTAATCAAGCTATAAAATCAAATATAATCTTGGTAGCAGCCTTTAAAGGTAATCCATTGTTCTGACCTCCTTAGGAGGAATACCCTATATGGCTGAGCTATATATATAAGTGGGCACAGCTGATATTTGCTTCTGTCGCCTGCACGTGTCTTTATTACAGCGTTAAAATCTGAAATCTTGTTTGAAAGCCCACAGTTCTAGGAAGCCTCCTGCCTTTGTCGCAAAGCGGCTCTTCACGTGGGCTTCTCCTCCTGCATTGAATTCCCTCCTCTATGAAAAATGAGATAGAGGTGATTTTATCAAATGCGCTGTATCCAGGGAGCAGACAAAGAAGCCAGCATGACAAGCTGTGCCTCGAGCGCAACCATTCCTTAAGCAAACACGGGCCTGTTTGTAATCCAATCCCCAGCAGTTGCTTTTCATTATAAATTACTAGGAAAGTTGGATATAATTTTAAAATAATAATCCCGAGACCTGTGGCTTGAGAAGGGATGTATGTGTGTGTATTTTTCCATGTCAGGAGCGACTTGAGAAACTGCTCAGATGTTTTACCATCCTGTGGGGTGCTTCTCTCAGTCCCTGCATGAGAAGCTGAAGCTGACAGATGGGAGCTCACCCTGCTCCCCAGATTCGAATCACCAACCTTTTGGTCAGCAGTCCTACCAGCACAAGGGTGGAGCCCCCAGTGGCGCAGTGGGTTAAACCCTTGTGCCGGCAGGACTGAAGACCGACAGGTCGCAGGTTCAAATCCGGGGAGAGGCGGATGAGCTCCCTCTAACAGCTCCAGCTCCTCATGTGGGAACATGAGAGAAGCCTCCCACAAGGATGATGAAACATCAAATCATCCTGGCGTCCCATGGGCAACGTCCTTGCAGACGGCCAATTCTCTCACAACAGGAGCTCCTGACACGACAAAAAAACAAAACAAAACAAAACAAAACACAAGGGTTTAACCCAGGAGTCCACAAACATTTTAAACACAGGGCCAGGTCACAGTCCCTCAAACTGTTGGAGGGCCGGATTATAATTTGAAAAAAAAAACCCATGAATTCCTATGCACACTGCACATATCTTATTTGTAGTGCAAGAATCACTTAAAATAATACAATAATTAAAATGAAGAACAATTTTAACAATTATAAACGTATTAGTATTTCAATGGGAAGTATGGGCCTGCTTTTGGCTGATGAGATGGGGTTGTTGTTGTTGTCGTTGTTGTTGTAGTGTGCTTTCAAGTCGTTTCAGACTTAGGTTGACCCTGAGCGAGGGCCAGGCAAATGACCTTGGAGGGCCGTATCTGGCCTCCAGGCCTTAGTTTGAGGACCCCTGGTTTAACGCATTGCACCACCGGAGATTCCTGGGATGTGTGTTGAGATTAGGTTTCATTCACTTTTTTGTTTACTATGGGTTATAAAACATTGCTTTTCATGGCAGCAGACGGTTGGTGTGGCAGGGAGTTGCCACAGCAACTTTATTCTCTCAGTGCCTTTCCACAAAGACATATGACCCAGAGTATCAAGGCTGATAACTCACAATATCTGCTTTGCATTGGGTTGTCTGAGTCCACACTGCCATATAATCCAGTTCAATGTGGATTTTATACAGCTATATGGAAAGGGCCTCCAAAGCTCTGTTTATTTATTACTAGCTGTCCCGTGCCACGCGTTGCTGTGGCCCAGTATGGTGATCTGGAAAATAATGTAATGAGAAAGTGTTGGTTTCTAATATATGTAATGTCTTTATGCTTGTGGGTAAACAGTATTTCTTGTGTTTCTTTGTCAGTGTTGATGTGGAGATAGTCTGGTTTGCCTACTCTGAAACATGGAACATACTATTGCCCTTCTTTAGGGGTCCCTTTCAAATCTATGATACTATATTTCTGTGTGTGTGTGAATAATATATATCTATCTATATCTATGGCTGGATGGCTCTTTGTCAGGAGGGCTTTGATTATGTTTTCTTGCCCTGGTGAAGGGAGTTGACCTGCATGGACTTAAATATTTTCTGTTGGTCATATGGGTTCTGTGTGGGAAGTTTGGTTCAATTCTGTCATTTGTGGGGTTCAGAATGCTCTTTGATTGTAGGTGAACTATAAATCCCAGTAACAACAAATCCCAAGTGTCATGGTCTATTTTCCCCAAACCCCATCTGTGTTCATATTTGGGCATATGGAATATTCATGCCACGTTTGGTCCAGATCCATCATTGTTTGCATCCACAATGCTCTCTGGATATAGGTGAACTACAACTCCTAAACTCAAGGTCAATGCCCACCAAACCGTTCTAGTGTTTTCTGTTGGTCATGGGAGTCCTGTGTGCCACGTTTGGTTCAATTCCATCGTTGGTGGAGTTCAGAATGCTCTTTGATTGTAGGAGAACTAGAAATCCCAGCAACTACAACTCCCAAATGACAAAATCAAAATTTTCTGAGTGAAGGACATACATTGGGTTGTTAGGTGTCTTGTGTCCAAATCTGGTGTCAATTAGCCCACTGGTTTTTGAGTTCTGTTAATCCCACAAATGAATATTACATTTTTATTTATATAGATTTATTTATTTACTGTATTTATATACCGCCTTTCTCACCCCTGGGGGGACTCAAGGCAGTTTACAACATACTAATGGCAAAAATTCAATGCCAACATACAGTATTTATTTATTTATGACATTTATATGCCGCCCTTCTCACCCTGAAGGAGACTCAGAGGGGTTTACAAGTTATATGTACATACAATATATTATATTAACATAGCACAATATTAGGTTAAGGTAAAGGTTTTCTCCTGATATTAAGTCCAGTTGTGTCCAACTCTGGGCATTGGTGCTCTGTTATGTTGATGACTGTTATGATAATTTGGTTATAATTAATTGCTATTGTTTTAACTCTGTATGTATTTATGGTTTTATACTGTGTTATTGATTTGTGGCATCAAATTGCTGCCTTTGTTAGCCACTCTGAGTCTCCCCCCCCCCCCCCGGGGGTTGAGAAGGGTGGGGTAACAATGCTGTAAATAAATAAATAAAAAATAAAAATCTCCATTTCTAAGCTGAAGAGCCAGCATTGTCCATAGACACCTCCAAGGTCATGTGGCCAGCATGATTGCATGGAATGAGCGCCGTTACCTTCCCACCGGATCTACTCACATTTGCGTGTTTTCGAACTGCTAGGTTAGCAGAAGCTGGGACTGACAGGGGGAGCTCACCTTGCTTCCCGGATTCGAACCTGCGACCTTTTGATCAACAAGTTCAGCAGCTCAATGTTTTAACCCACTGCACCACAGGGGACTCCTAGCACAATATTAGTATTATTTATAACTATATTGTATTATACCACTATACTGTAATATTATTAGTAATATTACATGTAATATGAAATATAAAATTATTATATTGTATTACTATTAGTATTATATCCCCTCAGAGGTGAGAAAAGCAGTAGATAAATGCAGTAGTAGTAGTAGTAGTAGTAGTAGTAATAATAATAATAATAATAATAATAATAATAATAAATTAGGTGGTAAAATAATAATAATACATTAGGTGGTAAAATTAGGTGCCTCGGCTTATATTCGGGACGGCTTATACTCGAGTATATACGGTATATCACAGTCCAGCAGAGGTGTTGGACTAATGCTGGATCTACACTTCCGTATAATCCAATATCTGATTCCTGATGATCTGCTTTGAACTGGATTATATGAGTCTACACTGCCATATCGTTCAGTTCAAAGCAGATAATCTGGATCCAGAAACTGGATTATATGGCAGTGTAATTGGGGCAGAAGTCTGAAACTTAATTATAAGACTGTGTCAGCTCCCAAATACATTATTATTATTATTATTAATATTATTATTAATATGTATATAATAATGCAGTCATGATCTTGGAAGTGTCTATGGACAACGCCGGCTCTTTGGCTTGGAAATGGAGATGAGCTCCACACCCCAGAGTCGGACACGACTGGACTTACTGTCAATGGAAAATCTTTACCTTTATATAATAATAATAATAATAATAATAATAATAATAATAATACGAAATTGAGCATATATATATCTCGTTTGCTGTGTCATACTGTGTTTTTGTATCAGTAAAATAATAATAATATATTATAATATTATCAATATTGTATGTGTATACAACAATATAATATATTATTATATTAAGTACAATATTAGTATTATATATTACTGTATTGTACTATACCACTACACAGCACACAAAGAAATCATAATAGCTAATTACTACATATAACTATGAACTTAAAATCAATTTAAAACCATTAAACGTAAGACTTACATAAAATTTACCAAATTAGGAATTGTGGGAGTTGAAGTCCAAAACCGCTGGAGGGCCCAAGTTTGCCCATGGTTGCTTTAAAGGGACAAATACACACTTCCTTATGAGTTTGAATGACCAAATCAGTGTGTGTCCCTTTTGTTTTTGTGCTGGCAGGGCTTATCCAGGCATGGCTTCCACAGCGGCAACTAGAGAACTAGCCCAGCTGTGGCGCTTGATGACGAAACAGGAGCGGAGGCCATATTGGTAGGTCTAGTCTTAGTCCAAAGAGTCCCTTGTCTTGGAAGTACTGTTTACAAGCAACATAGTGAGCTACATTATGCAGACTTCATGACTTGTGGATTTGATCAAAATGTTCTCTTTTGGAATCTCTAGGTCGGTGGTTCTCAACCTGTTGGCCCAAGCCTGGTTTAGATTCATGCTAGAGGACCTAGAGCAGTGTTTCTCAACCTAGGGTCGGGACCCCTGGAGTTCGCGAGGGGGTGTTAGAGGGGTCACCAAAGACCATCAGAAAACACAGTATATTCTGTTGGTCATGGGGGTTCTGTGTGGGAAGTTTGGCCTAATTGTATCATTGGTGGGCTTCAGAATGCTCTTTGATTGCAGGTGAACTATAAATTCCAGCAACTACAACTCCCAAATGTCAAGGTCTATTTCCCCCAAACTCCACATTTGGGCATATTGAGTATTCGTGCCAAGTTTGGTCCAGATACATCATTGTTTGAGATCACAGTGCTCTCTGGATGTAGGTGAACTACAGCTCCCAAACCCAAGGTTAATGCTCACCAAACACTCCCAGTATATTCTGTTGGTCATGGGGGTTCTGTGTGGGAAGTTTGGCCAAATTGTATCATTGGTGGCTTCAGAATGCTCTTTGATTGCAGGTGAACTATAAATTCCAGCAACTACAACTCCCAAATGCCAAGGTCTATTTCCCCCAAACTCCACATTTGGGCATATTGAGTATTCGTGCCAAGTTTGGTCCAGATACATCATTGTTTGAGATCACAGTGCTCTCTGGATGTAGGTGAACTACAGCTCCCAAACTCAGGTCAACGCCCACCAACCACTTCCAGTGTTTTCTGTTGGTCATGAGAGTTATGTGTGCCAAGTCCAGTTCAATGGCAATGTTGGTGGAGTTCAGAATGCTCTTTTAATTTAAATGAACCATAAATCCCAGCAACTACTACTCCCAAATGACAAAATCAATCCCCCCCATCCAATCCCACCAGTATTCAAATTTACGTGTATTGGGCATTTGTGCCAAATTTGTTCCAGTGAATGAAAATATATCCTACATATCAGATATTTACATTATGATTCATCACATTAGCCAAATTACAGTTATGAAGTCGCAACAAAAATAATGTTATGGTTGGGGGTCACCACAACATGAGGAACTGTATTAAGGGGTCGCAGCATTAGGAAGGTTGAGAACCACTGACCTAGATATTCCTTGAGAGGTGATCTCTCAGGGTAAGATTTTAGCAATATTTATTTGCATTTCTTTTTCACTTTCATGGGTGTCTTGTGCCCCTGTAGATCAAAGGCTTGACTGTATATCAAATTAATCCTTTTGGAGAAGGGGAAGCATATATAACTCACATATGTGTGACCTGCAAACTATAAAAGGTTGTCATGTAATGATCTTTCATCTGTTGTTCCCTCTTAGAGCCACAAGTCGATTGAAGTTATATATATTACACTGCAGTGATTGTTAGCTGCCTTGGCTCATTTTAAAAAGAGAGATAAAGTGGAGATAGAAGTAATAATGATAGTAATAATAATAATAATAATAATAATAATAATAATAATAATAATAATAATAATAATGGATTGCAAGTGTCTAGGGGGCTGGATACGGCCCTCCAAAGTCATTTACCCAGCCCTCACTCAGGGTCTGAAACGACTTGAAAGCACACAACAACAATAACAATCCTATCTCATCAGCCAAAAGCAGGCCCACACTTCCCATTGAAATACTAATATGTTTATGTTTGTTAACATTGTTCTTCATTTTAATTGTTTTTTGCACTACAAACAAAATATGTGGTGTGTACATGGGAAGTCATTTTTTCCAAATTATAATCTGGCCCTCCAACAGTTTGAGGGACTGTGACATGGCCCTCTGTTTAAAAAGTTTGAGGACCCTTGGTCTAGGACTATGTGATGTATCAGCGAATAATGCATGCAGATCCCAGTAGGGTGGCCTTTTGCAGCTGACAGATGGTAATTTTGTCAGCGCTGATTGTGTTTAAGTGCAGGCCTAGGTCTTTAGGCACTGCACCCAGTGTGTGATCCAATACAACAACCAGCATAGTGATCTTGTTTACTGTGTACTAATCTTGTTGTGCTCACAATAATAATAATAATAATAATAATAATAATAATAATAATAATAATAATAATACAGAGTTTTGGAACACATCACTGCTGACCTCACGATCATGTTAAAAAGCAAAATATGGATAGTTGATGTTGCAATCCCAGGTGACAGCAGGATTGAAGAGAAACAACTGGAAAGGCTGACATGATATGAGGATTTAAAGATCGAACGGCAAAGACTCTGGCACAAGCCAGTCAAGGTGGTCCCAGTGGTAATCGGCACACTGGGTGCAGTCCTAAAGACCTTGGCCTGCACTTAAACACAATTGGCGCTTACAAAATTACCATCTGCCAGCTGCAGAAGGCCACCTTACTGGGATCAGCATGCATTATTCGCCGATACACCACACAGTCCTAGACACTTGGGAAGTGTCCAACGTGTGATACAATACAATAGCCAGAAGAGTGATATTGTTTGCTGTGGACTCATCTTGTTGTGTTATACTGTAGCACTGAATTTTTGCTGTTCGTATTTGTTGTGAACCGCTGTGAGTTGCCTTCGGGCTGAGAACAGCGGTATATAAGTAAGGTAAATAAAATAATAATAATAATAATAATAATAATAATAATAATAATAATGTATTTCTTCAAATGTAGGATGCCATTGGTTGTAAGATGCCCCCTAATTTCGGTACCACCAACAAAGATTCATAAGACACACCTGCGATTCAAAGTCCTCTTCTATACTGCCGTCTTATCCAGACTATCAAAGAAGATAATCCAGATTATCTGATTTGAACTGAATTATATGAGTCTACACTGCCATATAATCCAGTTCAAAGCAGATAATTTGGATTTTATTTTATATTTTTTGTTATGATGTATTTTCCTGTTATTTTGTATCTAATTATGTGGTTAGCCGCCCTGAGTCCCCTTTGGGGAGATGGTGGCAGGTTATAAATAAAGATAATAATAATAATAATAATAATAATAATAATAATAATAATACTTTATTTGTACCCCGCTACCATCTCCCCAAGGGACTCGGTGCGGCTTACATGAGGCCGAGCCCAAATACAACAATACAAGCAACGAACAACAATACAAGTAATTAAAATACAAACATAGGCAATACAATATACAACATTATCAATAAGACAGCACACAATTAAAAACAGTGGGAAGGCCAAATGTAAAATTAAAATTGGAAGTGATGCTGGGACATGGACGAAAAGGTGATAGTGGTGTTTGTGGAAGGGGATACGAGCAGACCTAAAGAAATGTAAAGTGCTTTGGAGGACAAAGTGCTATGGGATCATTATTCCGGAAAGGCACTCTGGAACAGCCACGTCTTCAAGCTCCTCCTGAAGACTACCAGAGTCTGATGTCTTTAGGGAGTGAGTTCCAGAGTCAAGGGGCCACCACCGAAAAGGCCCTCTCTCTCGTCCCCACCAAATGCTCCTGCGAGGCTGGTGGGATCGAGAGCAGGGCTTCTCCAGATGATCGAAGGGATCGTGTGGATTCGTATATGGAGATATTATTATTATTATTATTATTATTATTATTATTATTATTATCGCAGTGTAGAAGGGGCCTAAGGACCCTTCCACACAGCCATATAATCCAGAATATCAAGGCAGATAAATCCACAATATCTGCTTTGAACTGGGTTATCTGAGCCCACACAGCTGTATAACCCATTATCAAAGCAGATAATGTGGGATTTTATACCGCTGTGTGGAACGGGCCTAAGGTGCATTTTTAAAGATGTTTACGTAGGGGAAAATGTGAGCCTTAGAATTGAAGAACTGCAGTCATTATAAGCAATTCTGTTCATTCTGTGGCTTTCTAAAACCAGGCTGTCAAAGTGATCCAGGTAATATGTGGCTGTCTGTAGCCCCTTATCATTACCTGGGAAGCTGCTTGGTGAACCTACCTGGTGTGCTACCTTTCATTATCTTGTTTTATTGTTTAATAATGGCAGCCACTTGGCCGTGTAGCATGTCTAGTGCAGCCTGACCTTTGCGGATAGCTGTCTGAATGAAAGGACTGGCGAAATGATAACCTTGTTGCCTGTTTTCCCTCCCAGCCTGAAAGCCCGGAGATTCAGCCGCATCAACAACCGCATTGTGAGGGAAGACTTCTCCAGCGGGGAGGAGGAGCCGGAGTCCCCCAAGCCCCTCCATGTGTTGCTGGCTGAGAAATCCCTCCCCGGAGCTCAGGTCTTTGGAGATTTGTCCTTGCTGGATCTTATTCCATAACTCTTGGTACCTTTGTGGTTATGGCACACATCCGTCCGATGGAAAAAAATGGCACTTATCTTTGGTCTGTTAGCAATAATGACTTAAGTTTACACAGTAATGGGTTTGCAAGTTTCCCCTTCATGTTCAGGGCAGTAATGTAATGGGTAGATGTTTTATGCCTCTAATAATACTTCTGTTCTTTGCCAATTTTTTCAATTGTTTACCAGCATCTCTTACCTGTGTGTTATTCCTTACTGTACCTCCAGTTTCCAGACATTAGTTGCTGAGACCTTCTAAGCATGAGCAATCCTTGGTTCTAAAGTACTTACAAAACCAGGAGGCGCTGGTGCTTTGCTTCTAAAGTGTTTCTAAAGCTGGTGATTTGCTTCTAAAGTGTTTCTAAAGTTGGTGATTTGCTTCTAAAGTGTTTCAAAAGCTGGTGCTTTGCTTCTAAAGTGTTTCTAAAGCTGGTGATTTGCTTCTAAAGTGTTTCTAAAGCTGGTGCTTTGCTTCTAAAGTGTTTCTAAAGCTGGTGATTTGCTTCTAAAGTGTTGTGAAAGTTCTGGTGGTGAAAATTTCAGAACAAACTTTCAAAATTTCATTATTTTGTTATTGGCTATTTTTTATGACAGAACCAATTAGGAACTGCCACTTATAACGAAATTTTGAAATTTTTGTTAGAGTTCTGAAATTTTCATCACCAGATCTTTAGAAACACTTTAGAAGCAAAGCATCGGCTTTAGCAACACTTTAGAAGCAAAGCACCAGCGCCCCCTAGTTTTGTAAATACTTTAGAAACATTTAGAATCATGGATTGCCCATGCCTATAAATCTTTACTCCTAGTTTGCCTCCTTGCTACCCTGCATTTTTTTTTATCTCTGTTTACCATCACCCAGATTTACTGTCTGGTGTTTGAAATCATCTAAAGGCACATCCATGAGACTGGCTAATAGAAAAGGGCTGGCTTGGTTGAGATCATTCTGTTTTTGATGTTTTAAAGTGTTTCTAAACCGGTTCTTTGCTTCTAAAGTGTTGCGAAAGTTCTGGTGGTGAAAATTTCAGAACTCTAACAAAACTTTCAAGATTTAATTATTTTGTTATTGGCTATTTTTATGAGAGAACTAATTAGGAACTGCCACTTATAACGAAATTTTGAAAGTTTTGTTAGAGTTCTGAAATTTTCACCACCAGAACTTAAGAAACACTCTAGAAGCAAAGCACCGGCTTTAGCAACACTTTAGAAGCAAAGCACCAGCACCCCCTAGTTTTGTAAATACTTTAGAACCGGAACCATGGATTGCCCGTGCCTATTCTTTACTCCTAGTTTGCCTGCTTGCTACCCTACATTTTTTTTCTCTGTTTACCATCACTCAGATTTACTGTCTGGTGTTTGAAGTCATGAGGCTTGCCACTGTAAAGGCAAATCCATGAGGCTGGCTGATAGAAAAAGGCTGGCTTGGTTAAAATCCTTCTGTTTTTGATGTTATAAAGTGTTTCTAAAGCTGGTTCTTTGCTTCTAAAGTGTTGCGAAAGTTCTGGTGGTGAAAATTTCAGAACTCTAACAACTTTCAACATTTTATTATTTTGTTATTGGCTATTTTTATGACAGGACCAATTAGAAACTGCCATTTATAAAGAAATTTTGAAAGTTTTGTTAGAGTTCTGAAATTTTCACCACCAGAACTTTAGAAACTCTTTAGAAGCAAAGCACCAGCACCCCCTAGTTTTGTAAATACTTTAGAACCAGAACAATGGATTGCACCTGCCAGTTCTTTACTCCTAGTTTGCCTCCTTGCTACCCTACATTTTTTTTCTCTGTTTACCATCACCCAGATTTACTGTTTGGTGTTTGAAGTCATGAGGCTTGCCACTGTAAAGACAAATCTGTGAGGCTGGCTGATAGAAAAAGGCTGGCTTGGTTAAGATCATTCTGTTTTTGATGTTTTAAAGTGTTGCTAAAGCTGGTGCTTTGCTTCTAAAGTGTTTCTAAAGTTCTGGTGGTGAAAATTTCAGAACTCTAACAAAACTTTCAAGATTTCATTATTTTGTTAGAGTTCTGAAATGTTCACCACCAGAACTTTGGACACACTTTAGAAGCAAAGCACCAGCGCTCGCTAGTTTTGTAAGTACTTTAGAACCATTTAGAACCATGGATTGCCCATGCCTACTCCTAGTTTACCTCCTTGCTACCCTGTGTTTTTTTATCTCTGTTTACCATCACCCAGATTTACTGTCTGGTGTTTGAAGTCATGAGGCTTGCTGCTGTAAAGGCAATCCATGAAGCTGGCTGATAGAAAAAGGCTGGCTTGGTTGAGATCATTCTGTTTTTGATGTTTTAAAGTCTTTCTAAAGCTGGTTCTTTGCTTCTAAAGTGTTGCGAAAGTTCTGGTGATGAAAATTTCAGAACGCTAACAAAACTTCCAAAATTTCATTATAAAGGTAGTGCTTTCTTTGGGAGCACTGTGCCAGTTGGATCTAAGTTTAAAAAGGAAATTTATTTTCTCCATCGTTGTTCCTGTGAAATGCACACCTATAGTATTTCCTGCGTATGCGCAGAAAATACTGTATATTCGAATTTCACAGGTGACCACTTGGAGAAACATGCTTACAGGTAAGCAACTATTACTTTGTAATCCATTCCCTGTCTTTCTAACCATGGCTTACCTAAAAAGTAGTCCCGTAGGATAGAAAAGTGAGTGACTATATATATATATATGTATATGTATATGTATATGTATATGTATATATATTCTCAAAGCTTTTAGCTTGTCTTTCCCATTAGCTAAGCTTTTACCATAGGTCTTCTCGTTTGCAGCCCAGCTGGTTTAGTTGCAGGTTCTTTAGCCCAAATTGCTATTTTTTGGGATCCACGTTGACGTGGAAAATTTGATGCTTTTGTTATCAATTAAGTTGCTTTATGTGTATTTTTCAGTGTTCAGAATTTGCTCTGGTTAGCATTGCATCTCCATCTAACGTTATATGCGCCGGAAAGTCAAAGGACTTTGAGAAGAAAGAGTGAGGTAGAGTTGATCCTTAGTTCAATGGATTTGGAAGAAATAGTGAATCTTACAAGAGTGTTCAACCCTGAGAAGTCTGAAGGTGAAGCTGTAGAATGATCAAGGTTTCTCTAGACAGCGTGCATCTGGTTGGCATGTACCTTGCGAGGTGAAGACATCCGTATCTATTTTCCCTTTATCCATCTCTTACTTAAATTATTGCCTGCCTCTACGTTTGCAATCTGTTTGCGTTTGAAAATTCTGTTTCAGGATCGAGTGGAATCATCCCAACGTTGTATTTATCTATTTATGTATTTATTGGTCGTCTTTCGGCAACACTATTTATATTTCAAATGAATTTTAAAAAATAAATTTTAACCTATGAATATAGAATGTTTACAGAACCATATCTCTCGGTTACAAATCTTTAAGTAGGGTATGTGTGGTTTCTGGCTGTGTTCTAGCAGCATTTTCTCCTGATGTTTTGCCTGCATCTGTGGCTGGCATCTTCAGAGGATCTGATGGTGGTAAAGCAAGTGGAGTGTATATACCTGTGGAATGTCCAGGGTGGGAGGAAGGAACCATTGTCTGTTGTACAATAGTACAGAGTGCAATTAGCAAGATAGTTTTGTACGTGTTGAGTGGGATCCACCCATTAGCTCAGGCGTGTAGCCAGGGGGGTCTAGGGGGCTTCAGCCCCCTGCCCGAAATTCTCATGGTGGTCCGCGAGAAGGCCTTACTGGTGCATTATTTAAACTGTTATGTTTATTCAGATCATGATCTGATCACCATACTCAATATATCCCATATGCATGGGGGTATTGGGGTAACGATACAAAAGGTTTGCTAGGGTAGACCCTCTTTCGCTCAGACTCAGCCCCCCCCCCCCCCCCCCCCCCCCGAATCAAACTCAGCCCCCTGCCCCGAATCAAAATCCTGGCTACGGGCCTGCATTAGCTTGTAAGAAGGGCATCTGCATGGAAGTAGTGTGGACTTTGTTCCCTTTGAATCATTTGCTGCCTAGAGTTTTCATGAAAATGAACACAATTTGGGTTGCTGTGAGTTTTCTGGGCTGCTTGTTCCAGAAGCATTCTCTCCTGACATTTTGCCCACATCTATGGCATGCATCCTCAGAAGCTGAGGGATCTGTTGGAAACTAGGCAAATGGGGTTTATATATCTGTGGAATAATGTCCAGGGTGGGAGAAAGAACTCTTGTCTGCTGGAAGCAAGTGTGAATGTTGATTAGCATTGAATGGCCTTGCAGCTTGATTGCCATTGAAATCCACAAATATGGGGACAATTTCATCAGAAAGGAGGAAACCATGAAAATGAACAAAATCTGGCTACCAATTTTAAAAAAAACTCTAAAATCATGACAGTAAATAAAGAGTAACACTAAAAAAAGGGGGGGGGGTTTCCAGAGATGAGTCAATCAGGGCCAGCTAACACCTCCCAACAAAGGATTCCCCCAGGCAGCAGCCAGCCAGGCTTTGAATCAGGACAGTAAATAAAAAGTAACACTGAAATAACAGGGAGATTCCAGACAAGAATCAATCAGAGCCAGCTAACACCTCCCAACAAAGTATTCCCCCAGGCAGCAGCCAGCCAGGCTTTGAAGCTGCAAGGCCATTCAATGCTACCTCAAGGTGCTTTTTTTTGTGTCAGGAATGACTTGAGAAACGTTGCTTCTGGTGTGTTAGAATTGGCCATCTACAATGCCATTGCCCAGAGGACACCCGGATGTTTTGTTGTTTTACCATCCTTGTGGGAGGCTTCTCTCGTGTCCCTGCATGGGGAGCTGGAGGTGACAGAGGGAGCTCATCTGCACTCTCTCTGAATTCGAATCTCTGACCTGTCAGACAGCAGTCCTGCCAATACAAAGGTTTAACCCACTGAGCCACTGGGGGGTCCTTATCAAGGTGGCCATTTGCAACATTTACACCTGCCTCAAGCAGACAAGAGTTTTTTCTCCCAACCTGGGCATTTCACAAATATACAAACCCCACTTGCCTAGTTTCCAACAGATCCCTCAACCTCTGAGGATGCCAAGGCTGAGAGGAGATATGATAGCCATGTATAAATATGTGAGAGGAAGCCACAGGGAGGAGGGAGCAAGCTTGTTTTCTGCTTCCCTGGAGACTAGGACGCAATGGAACAATGACTTCAACCTACAAGAGAGGAGATTCCATCTGAACATGAGGAAGAACTTCCTGACTGTGAGAGCCGTTCAGCAGTGGAACTCTCTGCCCCGGAGTGTGGTGGAGGCTCCTTCTTTGGAAGCTTTTAAACAGAGGCTGGATTGCCATTTGTCAGGGGTGATTTGAATGCAATGTTCCTGCTTCTTGGCAGAATGGGGTTGGACTTGATGGCCCATGAGGTCTCTTCCAACTCTTTGATTCTATGATTCTAGGATAGATGTGGTTGACACGTCAGGAGAGAATGCTTCTGGAACATGGCCAGACAGTCTGGAAAACTCACAGCAACCCAGTGATTCCAGCCATGAAAGTCTTCGTGAACACAATTTGATTACAATGATTGAAAAACACTAAAATCAAGACAGTGACTAAGAAACGCCACCCAGACACAGGAAGTCTCCAGACAACAAGCAATCAAGGGCTTACCCTGACAAAGAATGCCTCTAATCTGTGCATACCTAGCATTATTTTTTAAATTTTAATTATTACATTTGGCCCAGCCATAGGTTTTTAGACGTTTATTGTGCTATTGTCAATGTTTATTGCTTATTTTTTTGTTTATGAGATTTATTTTAACTGTTTTGTATTGTTGTTTGTTATTGCTTTTATTATTGATGTATTGTGGGCTCGGCCTCATGTAAGCCGCACCAAGTCCCTTGGGGAGATGGTAGCGGGGTATAAATAAAATTATTATTATTATTATTATTATTATTATTATTATTATTATTATATAGACAGCAAACAATTCAAAGGGAACAAAGGCCAGGCTACTTCCATGCTTGCTAATTGCACCTTTTACACGTGTATAGCAAACAATAGTTCTTTCCTACCACCCTGGACATATAATAGGTATATATATACTCCACTTGCTTGACTATCATCAGATTCTCTGAAGATGCCAGCTACAGATGCAGGCAAAACGTCAGAAGAAAATGCTGCTGGAAACCACCCAACACCCCAGTGATTCCGGCCGTGAAAGCCTTCGACAATACAAATCTTTAACTGCATTCATGATGGTGGAAAGTATGAAAATGCTTAATAGTAAAAGAAGAATCTGTTGGCAAGGCATGCAGGAGAGCAAGGGCTGTGGCTTCCACGCTGAGCTCTTTTCAGGATCCCAGGTCGACAAAAGGAGAGGCAAGGGAGCCCAGGAAGCTGTTCTGGTGGGACTGGTGCTGCAGGAAATCCATCCTTTGGCCCCCAGGGTGAATGGCTTGCCCCATTGGAGCTGAGAAAGGCAAGCTAGGGTAGAACAGAGCAGGGCTGGATCCTTGTGCCGTCGGGCTGTCGATGGGAGAGTTCTCGTCCTCAGAGCTGGAGATCAGAAAGTGCCTCTCTCGTGGCAGGCCTCGTCCTTCCTTCCGAGAACCTCCATCACTGTTATCCCTGCGGGAAGGAAGAAGAGCGGCAAGAAGCAAAAGAACATGGCAAAAATCCCCAGATTTTGAAGTATTCAGGATATCGGTCCTGTAGAACAGCGTTTCTCAACCCTTGGGGGGGTCATGAGGGTGTGTCAGAGCGGTCTCCAAAGACCATCAGAAAACACAGTATTTTCTGTTGGTCATGGGGATTTTGTATGGGAGTTTGTCCCAATTCTGTTGTTGGTGGGGTTCAGAATGCTCTTTGATTGTAGGTGAACTATACATCCCAGCAACTACATCTCCCAAATGTCAAGGTCTATTTTCCCCAAACTCCACCAGTGTTCACAATTGGGCATATTGAGTATTCGTGCCAAGTTTGGTCCAGATCCATCATTGTTCTCCACAGTAGTTGTAATTTACCTACAGTCCACAGTGCTCTCTGGATGTAGGTAAACTACAACTCCGAAACTCAAGGTCAATGTCCATTGAACCCTTCCAGTATTTTCCGTTAGTCATGGGAGTTCTGTGTGCCAGGTTTGGTTCAATTCCATCGTTGGTGGAGTTCAGAATGCTCTTTGATTGTAGGTGAACTATACATCCCAGCAACTACATCTCCCAAATGTCAAGGTCTATTTTCCCCAAACTTTACTAGTGTTCACATTTGGGCATGTTGAGTTTCTGTACCAAGTGTGGTCCAGATCCATCATTGATTTCAGAGTGCTCTCTGGATGTAAGTGAACTATAGCTCCAAAACTCAAGGTCAATGCCCACCAAACCCTTCAGTATTTTCTGTTGGTCATGGGAGTTCTGTGTGTCACGTTTGGTTCAATTCCAAACTTTGGTGTTCAGAATGCTCTTTGATTGTAAGTGAACTATAAATCCCAGCAACTACAACTCCCAAATGTCAAAGTCTATTTTCCCCAAACTCCACCACTGTTCACAATTGGGCATATTGAGTATAAGTGCCAAGTATGGTCCAGATCCATAATTGTTTGAGTCCACAGTGCTCTCTGGATGTAGGTAAACTACAACTCCAAAAGGTCAATGCCCGTCAAACCCTTCCAGTATTTTTTGTTGGTCATGGGAATTCTGTGCGCCAAGTTTGGTCCAATTCCAAACTTTGGTGGAGTTCAGAATGCTCTTTGATTGTAGGTGAACTATAAATCCCAGCAACTACAACTCCCAAATGTCAAGGTCTATTTTCCCCAAACTCCACCAGTGTTCACATTTGGACATATTGAGTATTCGTGCCAAGTATGGTCCAGATCCATAATTGTTTGAGTCCACAGTGCTCTCTGGATGTAGGTAAACTACAACTCCAAAAGGTCAATGCCCGTCAAACCCTTCCAGTATTTTCTGTTGGTAATGGGAATTCTGTGTGCCAAGTTTGGTCCAATTCCAAACTTTGGTGGAGTTCAGAATGCTCTTTGATTGTAGGTGAACTATAAATCCCCGCAACTACAACTCCCAAATGACAAAATCAATCTCCCCCTCAACCCCACCAGTATTCAGATTTGGATGTATTAGGTATTTGTGCCAAATGTGGTCCAGTGAATGGAAATACATCCTGCATATCAGATATTTACATTACGATTAATAACAGTAGCAAAATTACAGTTATGAAGTAGCAACGAAAATAATTTTATGGTTTTATGGTGTCATCACAACTTGAGAAACTGTGATAAGTGGTTGCGCCATTAGGAAGGTTGAGAAAATTTAGAACAAGTGATCCTGCAGGCATGGGCAAACTTTGGCCCTCCAGGTGTTTTGGACTTCAATTCCCAAACACCTGGAGGGCCAATGTTTGCCCATGCCTGACTAGGTGTAGAAGCCCCTCAGACATCCATGCACCAAAAGTTTGGGTTTGTTGCTTCAGGAAAGCCCCATAGATTCCATTCCACTCCCAAACTGGCCTTCCTCACCTTTCCTTGGTCTCGGCCGCCCTGTCTCTTTGGCGTCGGTTCTTGAACCAGTTGCTGACCTGCATGGTGGTCAGCCCCGTGGCTTCCGACAACTCCCTCTTCTCCCGAGGAGACGGGTAGGGATTGTGGAAGTACCATTCCCGCAACACACTCCGGGACTTTTCCTGGAATAAAGGAGCCAGAGTCAGGAAAGAAATGGAAATCAAAGGCAAAACATCTGCTTTGTTGGACGAATATAAACAACATTTCACAAAATTCCCTGCTCTGCCAAGTTAAAGTATCATAAGCATCCCTTCTGAAATCATATTTCTTTCCCAGTGTCCTGAAGTCTTTAGTCATTTCTCAGTTCTGTCTTTTGAATATTTTAATTTGAGTATATAACAAAAAGTTCTTGGTGGTATGGGGAGACCAACCCACCTTGCCTGTCTCCTGAGGAATCTGTATAAGGACCAAGTAGTAACAGTTAGAACTGACCACGGAACAACAGACTGGTTCAAGATTGGGAAAGGCGTATGGCAGGGCTATCTACTCTCAGCCAACCTATTCAACTTGGATGCAGAACACACCAACATTTAAGGTTTGACAAATCCAAGACTGGAGTCAAAATTGCTGGAAGAAACATGAACAACCTTAGATATGCAGATGATACCACTTTGATGGCTGAAAGCGAGGAGGAGCTGAGGAGCCTTCTAATCAAGGTGGAAAGAAGAAAGTGCAAAAGCTGGGTTACAGTTAAACATAAAAAAACCCACCAAGATTATGGCAACAAGAATGATTGACAACTGGAAAATAGAGGGAGGCAGCGACAGACTTCGTATTTCTAAGCACGAAGATGACTGCAGACGCAGACTGCAGCCAGGAAATCAGAAGTTTCCCTCTTGGGAGGAGAGCAAGGACGTATCTCGATAAAATAGTGAAGAGTAGAGACATCACACTGGCAACGAACGTCCACATAGTTAAAGCAATGGTATTCTCTATAGTAACCTATGGATTCGGGAGATGGACCACAAGGAAGGCTGAGCGAAGGAAGAGAGATACTTTTGAACTCTGGTGTTAGAGGAAAATTCTGAGAGTGCCTTGGACCGTGAGAAGATCCAACCAGTCCATCCTCCAGGAAATAAAGCCTGACTGCTCATTGGAGGAAGGATTTTAGAGGCGATGATGAAGTCCTTTGGCCACATCATGAGAAGACAGGAAAGCTTGGAGAAGAGAATGATGCTGGGGAAAATGGAAGGAAAAAGGAAGAGGGACCGACCAAGGGCAAAATGGATGGATGTTACCCTTGAAGTGACTGGCTTGACCTTGGAGGAGCTGAGGGTGGCCACAGCCGACAAGGAGCTGTGGCGTGGGCTGATCCAGGAGGTCACCAAGAGTCGGAAGCAACTGAACAAATAAACAACAAAATGTACCACAATTGATTTTACCCCTGTTCCTTGTTTGAAAGTCTTATTTCCTGATTAACTGTGTGGTCCTTACTTTGCAAGTAGTTGTTATATCCCAGGAACTTCATTTTTGTGGCTGCCACAAACTATATTGAATGGGTTGAGACTCTATGAGATATTCATCGAAAAACTATAGCAAAATGTGCTGCAGGATGCTCCGCACAAACAAAGTTTTTGCAGTTTAATAAATGTTTTCCATGTTTTTTAAAAAATGATAGATCCAATTAGGAAATGACTTTTATAACCCGGGGACAAAAATAGTGTTATTTTTCCTGAACATGTCTGGGTTTATGAGCTGCTTTGAGTCTACTCTTAAAGAGTAGAAAATGGGAGAAGAGGAAGGAGAAAAAGAAAAAGCAGAAGAAGAGAAGGAAGAGGAAGAAGAGGAGGAGAAGGAAGATGAAGAAGAGGAGGAAGAAGAAGAGAAGGAAGAGGAAGAAGAGGAGGAGGAAGAGAAGGAAGAGGAAAAAGAGTAGTAGGAGGAAGAGAAGTAAGAAGAAGAAGAGGAAGAGAAGGAAGAGGAAAAAGAGGAGGAGGAAGAAGAGAAGGAAGAGGAAGAAGAGGAAGAGAATGGGGAGGAAGAAGATGAAGAAGACAAAGAGAATGGGGAGGAAGAAGAAAAGGAAGAGGAAGTAGAGGAGAAGGAAGAGGAAGAAGAGGTAGAGGAGGAGGAGGAAGAGGAAGAGAAGGAAAAGGAAAAAGAGGAAGAAAATGGGGAGGAAGAAGAGAAGGAAGAGGAAGAAGAAGAGGAAGAGGAAGAAGAAGAGAATGGGGAGGAAGAAGACGAAGAAGATCAAGAGAATGGGGAGGAAGAAGAGAAGGAAGAGGAGGAAGAGGAAGAGAATGGGGAGGAAGAAGACGAAGAAGATGAAGAGAATGGGGAGGAAGAAGAGAAGAGGGAGAGGAGGAGGAGGAGGAAGAAGAGAAGGAAGAGGAAGAAGAGGAGAAGGAAGAAGAGAAGGAAGAGGAAGAAGAGCAGGAGGAAGAAGAGGAAGAGAATAACACATATATAGAGTTTGGATTAAATGTTGTAACATAGCCAGCAGAGGGCAATATATCCTTTTTCTTTCTAAATGTGCTCCTAAAATGATTTATTATTAATAGCTTCTTTCTCAGCAGAGTTGAACTTCTGTTCAGTATCAGTGAGGAGGCTGAGCACCTCTTATCCTGAATTCTGAAACCCGAAATCCTCCCAAACCTAAAATGGTCCACCTGGGTGGCTGAGATAGTAACCCCTTTTCTTTCTGATGGTTCAACGTAGGCAGAATATCTTTCATGCCCAAAATATTGTATATAATCACTATCAGGCTATTTATACTACATGGTGTATAATGTGAAGCATACATTAATTTTGTCTTTAGAATTGGGTCCGATCTCCGAGATATCTCGTTGTGTTCATGTATGCAAATACAAGTACTGCAAAATTACTCACCCACTCCCAAATCTGAAATCTAATGCACTTCTGATCCCAAGTATTTCAGGTAAGGGATACTCAACCCATAATGTATTTTCATAGGGACAAAAAACAGCCTCTTTTATGAAATGTATTTACTGGTTTTCAACTTTCCACTGTCTCTCTTGCTTCTCTGCTGAACTTTTAATTGTTCCTTCCCATCCACATAAAGCGAGACAGTGATACAGGGTAAATGTCTGCCTCATACAAATCAAACCATTTGTTCCTCTAAATCAGTACTATGGGGAGTTTCCCACTGGCAAGCCATTCTACAGGACGGCAGGCAAGCTCCTTGCAAAGCCCTTGCGAGGGATGCCACACAAAGCATATGCTTTTCTAATAAGGTTTGTTTTTGTTGCTGTTGTTGTGTATCTCCAAGTCGTTTCTGATTTATGGTGATCCAACCCTGGGGATTTCTTGGCAAGATGAATACAAGGGAGGGTTGCCTTTGCCTTCCTCTGAGGCTGAAGGGAGTGACTTGCCCAGAGTCACTCATTGGGTTTGAGTAGCCAAGCTGGAATGTGTCCAGAGGAGGGCGACTAAAATGATCAAGGGTCTGGAGATCAAGCCCTATGAGGAGTGGCTTAAGGAGCTGGGCATGTTTAGCCTGAAGAAGAGACGGCTGAGAGGGGATATGATAGCCATGTATAAATATGTGAGAGAAAACCACAGGGAGGAGGGAGCAATCATGTTTACTGCTTCCATGGAACAATGGCTTCAAACTACAAGAAAGGAGATTCCACCTGAACATGAGGAAGAACTTCCTGACTGTGAGAGCCGTTCAGCAGTGGAACTCTCTGCCCCGGAGTGTGGTGGAGGCTCCTTCTTTGGAAGTTTTTAAACAGAGGCTGGATGGCCATCTGTCAGGGGTGCTTTGAATGCAACATTCCTGTTGGCAGAATGGGGTTGGACTGGATGGCCCATGAGGTCTCTTCCAACTCTTTGATTCTATGATTCTATGAAATGCTGGTTCTCAGAGTCTTAGTCCAATGCTCAGAGTAATACACCACATTGTCTCTGTTCAACTAGAATACAAATCTACTGGAAACAGGCAAGGAGCAATGTTCAAGTTGTATACATGTGTGTGAAAGTCAAGTCAGCATGAAATTGATATCATCCGACACTTGACAGTTGGAAACCAGGACTTGTGTGTCCAAACAACATCAGAGTGTGGCCAAGATGACCAAAAGGATCAATGATAAATAACTCATAAGCTAGAAAAAGTTGCAGCAGTTTGCTATTGCCTGAGCCTGTTGGGAAGGGAAAGATCCCATCTCCTACTTGAGTCAATGGAGCACAAACAAGTTTTGAAGGAAGCTGAGGGTGAAAGAAGAAGTTGGGAGAAGAAATCAACATTTTAGAAGCAGCCGGAAAAGTGGGATAGCAGAAGACCTCACCTGGAATAACCTTGTATCCACTTCTGGTGGGTACCACAGAAGAATATGGACAAGCTAGAACGTGTCCAGAGAAGGACAATCAGAATGGTCAAAGGTCTGGAAGCCAAACCTTATGAGGAACAGCTTAGGGACCTGGAGATGTTTAGCTTGAAGAAAAGGCTCAGAGGGGACAAGATAGCCATGCTTAAATATCTGAAAGGAGGTCACGTTGAGGAAGAGACAAGGTTGTTTTCTGCTACTCTGTTGACTAGGAGCAATGGATTGAATTTACGGGACAAGAGGTTCCACCTAAACATTAGGAAGAACTTCCTGGTGGTCAGATGCTGTGTTGGAGCCTAACAGAGTCTCCTCTGGTGATCTTTAGCCAGAAGTTGGATGACCAACTGTCAGCTTGGCTTTTGTTGTATTTTCCTGCATGACAGGGTGTTGGATTGGATGGGAATGGGGTCTCTTCCAACTCTTCTAAAGTGGAGGAAGAAATAAGAAGCCAGGATATTTTGCAAGTAGCTATAAAGTTGGAATGGCAGAAGATTAATTGGGACTTTGAAGGTATGGAAGCCTTACCTTGAAGCAATAACTGGTCTCCTCTCCATCCCAGATGGTCCGCGGAAGAGGGAACTTACGGCGGACCCTGTATTTCCCCACTGCCCCCAACGGCCTTCCGCGCAGCTTCTCAGCTTCCATGTAGTGGGCCTTGAGCCACAGTTGCTGCAGCTTGGGGTGGTTGTGCGGAGAGAATTGGTAGCTCTCCAGGATGTTGTAGAGCTCCCTGAAGTTTCCCCAGTGGAAGGCCACCATGGCTTTGGCCTTCAGGACACTCTCATTCTTGTGGAGGCGTTCGCAGGCCGGCAGCGACCAGAGGAACCGGCCCAAGCGCTCGATGTTCCCCCCTTGCTGCAAGACCTCGCAGACGCAGGCCACTTGCTCCTGGGTGAAGCCAAAATTCATGGCTGAGAGAGAAGGAAGCCGGTGACCCGTTCTGAGACGATGAAGAAGAGCCTCCCAACACAAACCTGGCCCAGGTGGCTTTCGCAAACCTGAGTACGAAAGATGATGCCCTCCTCGCAGGCAAGGGGGATTTTACTTCTTTGAAAGAGGAAACCAGGAGCAGTGGGAGAATCTGCCTCTTTGAGAGAGGAAACCAAATCCGTCCCACTAAGGTAGAGAAGATGAGCAAGAGGCAAGTCAGGCACGCACCAGATTTGTCTCCGGCGTGGCCATGGCAAACTCACACTTCATTCCTCTTTTCCTCCACTCCGCTTCTACTTCTTGGTGTCAGGACTCTCTTTCTCTCTTCTGTCTGTGTCTCCGGACTCCAGAGACAGTCGCCCTGGGTAGATGTCTGGGGGGTATCGGTTACAGGCCCGGCCCACGCAGACTGCAGCTGCGGAGAGCCATTGGCCAACTGTGCAAGAAGGGCGAGAGAAAGAGAAATCTTTTCCACCATCCTCACCCCCTTGGATGGCAAACCTTTGTGTGGAGGGGTTATCAAGTTATAGAAATGTGAGATGCCCTCTATTTGGGATCAAGGGGAGACGGAAGCAAACGTGGATCGTTTTGTCGCATCTGTTTAGGATCAAACTTTCTGCATTGAAACATCACTTGTGGTTCTTGTCTTATTGAGCAAAAGGGCAAAGCCAAACAATGCCTTGCAGTCACCGAAAAAGGATGGTAAAACATCAAAACATTCTGGCGTCCCCTGGGCAACGTCCTTGCAGATGGCCAATTCTCTCACACCAGAAGCAACTTGCAGTTTCTCAAGTCGCTCATGACACGAAAAATCCCAAACCAACCCCCCCGCCCCCGAAAATCTTGGAGAACTTAGAATCATAGATTTGGAAGAGACCACCTGGGCCATCCAGTCCAACCCCCCTGCCAAGAAGCAGGAATATTGCATTCAAAGCACCCCTGATAGATGGCCATCCAGCCTCTGTTTAAAAGTCTCCAAAGAAGGAGCCTCCACCACACTTCGGGGCAGAGAGTTCCACTGCTGAACAGCTCTCACAGTCAGGAAGTTCTTATTGCCTTTCTTAAACTTGGTTATAGAGACATCAAGAAGATTGGACTCTAATGCTGAAGATGAATGGGTTCGATTCTCACTCAGTCATGGAAACCTGGGCAACTTTGGGCAAATCACACAGATAGGATCAGAAATGATCTAAAACCACACAACAATAGAGTCATAATCAGCACAGTTTTCTATTTTATTTCTAAACCCACAATGACCAGATATTAACTGCAAGCCATCTTTAGTAAACTATTGCTTATCTACTAACAGCATAACAGGTTTTCTAACTATGTCAAATTTATTTGAATTTTTTCCCTCCAGGAAAGAGGAGAGAAACTCTATTTGTTGGTTGTTTTTTTTCCATATCTCACTTTTGGAATAAGTTGTTTTAGCTTAGGGAATGGAAAGAATATTTAAGAATATTTGGGAAATGATTAGTAAATGGGTTTCTTAAGTGTTGGAAAACCATGGCAAGGAGGATCCGAGATGGGCGAGAACCTTCTAGTTTGAGACTTAAAATACTGCCATATGAGGGAGTTTGGAAGTGGTTTATTTACGAGAGGTATTTTTTAAGTAAGGTCCGTTTTGTTGTAGACACTAGTAGTTCGCACGCATACCGCAACGAGCGCGTGCGTTGTGTACCGGCATGCCTCGGGAACAACTGTGCTCAGTTTCCGCTCTGTAGCTAACCTGTACGGTTCTGTTCTGTGCTTTAAAAATGTTTAAGACTTATCAACTCACCCTCCGCATGTGAGGTTCACTCAGTGATACGGTTTTTGTCAGCAAGGAACCTGCCTGCTGCAGAAATTCATCGACAGATTTGTGAAGTGTACGGTGATACTGTTATGAGTGAAAGCAAAGTGCGTAAGTGGGTACGACAATTCAAAGATGGCCGTGACAACGTCCATGATGAGGACCGCTCCGGTCGCCCTTCTTTGATTACAGATGATTTGGTGGCTTTTGGTGGCGGCAAGTTTTTATGAAGAGGGTATTTTAAAATTGGTTCAGAGGTATGATAAGTGTTTGAACAAACTTGGCAACTATGTCAAAAAATAGAGAGAAGTATGTACTTTCTGAAAATAAAATTACTTTTTTGAAATAAACTTTCGTTGCGTACTTACGTTCAAACAGACTTTACTTAAAAAATATCCCTCGTATATGGTCAGTGTAGACTCATATGATGCAGTTTGTTGCAGGAGAGTTTTATGTTATTATTTTCCTCGGTGTATTATTGGAAGGGAAAAAAATGCCGGGACAAAATCTGGGACTTTTCAGAACAAAACTTGGGACTTCTCAGTCAATCTGGATGCATCCATAATATGGACGTGTTCTTTTCCCCTGCGGCTGGTGAATCCCCATAAAGAAAACCCTGGTGATTTCCCTTTGTTCTCCTTGCTTCTGCCAGGTGACAGAACAGCTCCCTTCCCCAACCTGAGCCCCTTCCCTTTCCGTCTCTTTCTCTTCCCATGTGGAGATCAGGTTTCCCCCACCAACCTGGCCGCCATTCCAGAGACAAATAACCTGCTGCAGGACAAAATAACAAGGGACCTTGTGTGTCTGCAAGATCCCACATTCGGAGAGGGAAGGCTGGAGAGAGATGTTTTGTTTTAGAAAGCTCCCAGCGGAGAGAGAAAAGCCCAAAAGCTTCTTGGTACGAAGGTAGAAGGACCACAACCTCTCCATCACTGCGGGAGCTGTTCAAGAAGGTGGTAGACTCTCCTGCACTGGAGGTATGGCTACCAGTACCTACCAGTTTGGATTTTGTGCAATTGATTATGTATAGATTTGATTTAAAATATTCTCTCCGGCATGTATGACAACTTCCTCTAGTCATTTTCCTGGGAAGAAGAAAGGTGATCCAGGTTGGATAAGGTAAAGGTAAAGGTTTTCCCCTGACGTTATGTCCACTCTGGGGGTTGGTGCTCATCTCCATTTCTAAGCTGAAGAGCTGGCGTTGTACGTAGACACCTCCAAGGTCATGTGGCCAGCATGACTGCACGGAGCGCTGTTAGCTTCCCACCGGTGCGGTACCTATTGATCTACTCGCATTTGCATGTTTCCGAACTGCTAGGTTGGCAGAAGCTGGGGCTGACAGCGGAAGCTCATGCCGCTCCCCGGATTCGAACCTGGGACAAACTTAGCAGCTCAGCGGTTTAACCCACTGGATTGGATGGTATGACTCAAATGGCTCAAATGGGAGGAAAGTATTTAAGGGGATTTGCTTGTAGGTGAGGAATCAAAGGAGTAAGGAGGGAAAAGAGACTACTCTCAGGCAACATTAATCCTTTTTAACATTTTAGAGTTGCAGTGGCACAATGGGTTAAACCCTAGTGCTGGTTGAACTGCTGAACTAAAGGTCAGCAGTTCAAATCCACGAGATGGGATGAGCTCCCATTTGTCAGCTCCAGCTTCTCATGCAGAGAAGCTGGAGTCAAGAGAATGCAACTCACCCATGGTTACTCATGGAAAGACGTGAGTCAAGAGTCAAGACAATGCAACTCACCCATGGTTGGTTACGAATAGAAAGACATGAGTCAAGAGTCAAGACAATGCAACTCACCCATGGTTACTCATAGAAAGACATGAGAGAAGCCTCCCACATGAGAAGCTGGAGCTGACAGATGGGAGCTCATCCCATCTCATGGATTCGAACCTCTGACCTTTAGTTCAGCAGTTCAGCCAGCACTAGGGTTTAACCCATTGTGCCACCGCAACTCTAAAATGAGAGAATTGGCCGTCTGTAGAGATGTTGCCCTGGGGACACATCTGGGCATCCCCAGGGCAACATCTCTACAGACGGCCAATTCTCTCACACCAGAAGCGACTTGCAGTTTCGCAAGTCACTTCTGACATGATTAAAAAAAACATCTTAGAGTGCATCTACACTGTAGAATTAATGCCGTTCGACTCTGAACTGCTCTGGCTCAATGCTATGGAATCATGGAAATTGTAGTTTTACAAAATTCTTTCACGTTCTTTGCCAAAGGGGACTGGTACCTTTGATCGCTGGATTCCGTTCCATTGAGCCATGGCAGTTAAAGTGGTGTCAAACTGCATTAATTCTACAGTGTAGAACCAGCCTTAGATACAGCCAGTATGGTGCAATAATTTGAGCATTGGTCAACAGTTCAGAAAAACAGTGTTCAAGTATTAACTTAGTCATAGAAACCCATTGAGTAACCATGGGTGAGTTGCATTCTCTTGGGCCCAAAAAAACCCATCACAGGGTCCCTTTAGTGCATGGGTTCCCAACCCATGGGCCATGGCCTACAGGTGGGTCACGAGACTTAAAATAACGTGAGTGAGACATGAGTGGGGAAAACGCAACTGCGCATGTGCCAGGGATTCTCATGTTGCGGTTGGAAAAGAGCAGATGGGAAGGAAAGAAGGAGACGCCGGCGCATTGGGAGGCTTCCCAGCTCAGGGCGAAGACTCACCCAGCAGCACGTGTGAGGAAGCGAGTGACATAGTTCCCCAAAGTAATTATTATTATTAGCTCCCATTGCCACGCATCAGTTGTAATGGAAAAGCAGCCCTTTGCAAGACCCTGTTTAGTCCCCCAAAGCGAAGACCCTGTTTAGTCCCCCAAAGTGATGGTGGTGGTTATGATGATGATGATCATCATCATCATCATTATTATTATCATCTATATAAATAAAAATGTAATGTTAGTTTGTGGGATTAACAGAACTCAAAAACCAGTGGGCGAATTGACACCAAATTTGGACAGCATACACCTAACGACCCAATGTATATCCTTCACTCAAAAATTGTCATTTGGGAGTTGTAGTTGCTAGGGTTTATAGTTCACCTACACTCAAAGAGCATTCTGAACTCCACCAATGATGGAATTGAACCAGAGATGACATACAGGACTCCCCTGACCAACAGAACACACTAGAAGGGTTTGGTGGGCATTGGCCTCGAGTTTGGAAGTTGTAGTTCACCTACATCTAGAGAGCACTGTGGACTCAAACAATGATGGATCTGGACTAAACTTGGCACAAATACTCAATATGCCCAAATGGGAACACTGGTGGAATTTGGGGGAAATAGACTTTGACATTTGG